TCTCTATCAGCTCTTGCAATTATCGGTACCATTTTTTTTATTAATATATATGTATATATATACATGTTTTTTTTTTTTGCGGCCAAGGCACCGAGCTTCGGCCGCAGCCGAGGCGTGCGCCTCGGCCTGACGCCTCAGCCATCTGGCCGAGGCGCAGCGCCTCGGCCTGGCTGAGGCATTGCCAATGCCTCAGCCATTGGGGCCGAGGCGTGTGCCTCGGTCTGTGGCTGAGGCGTCGCCTCCGCCATTTGGCCGAGGCGCAGCGCCTCGACCCGGCTGAGACGTTGCCTTGGCCGGCTGAGGCGTCGCCTCAGCCATTTGGCCGAGGCGCAGCGCCTCGACCCGGCTGAAGCGTTGCCTTGACTCTTTTTTTTTTTCTCTTTTTTTTTTACTTTGAATTTTTTTTTTTCTTTTTGCGGCGTGGGCCGACTTCGGGCTGTGGCGGCGCCTCACCCGAGGCGTGTGCCTCGTCCTGCGGTCGAGTCGTCGCCTCAGCCGCTGGCCGAGGCACTGTACCTCAGCCTTTGGCCGAGGCATGCGCCTCGGCTAGACTTGCCATTGGCCGAGGAGCGTGGCCTCGGCCCATCTCTTTTTTTTTTTTTTTTTTTTTTTTCACAATGCGGCGTCGGCCCGCTTTTAGTTGAGGCGTCGCCTCAGCCCTGCCGAGGCGCGTGGCCTCGACCCCCCCCCCCCGCCCCCCCCCCCCCCCTTTTTTTTTTAAATCTCATGTAGAGTGTAGTGACAACCGTGGTTGATCGAAGGTGGTATTGAGAACCTTTTATTTGAGCAAAGTAACCTAGGCAGACCATGATTACGAAATATTGTGACTTTGAGAAAATAACTTTGAGCGAAGTAACCTGGGCGGACCATGATTACTAAATACTGTTTACAGGTCTGGGCGGATCAAGACTACAAAGTATTACTGATAATATCTAACTAAATGTTCTGAGCTCCATACCCGATCGATTATCTTTGTAGATGGTGTGGACTTGTAGATCCTTACTGCCAATCTTTTTGCATGCTTTTACGTAACAACTGCGGGCTGCTCGCTGGTCTCCTCTGACGACTGCTATCCCACTCGGAGTAGGGAACTTCATACACAAGTGTTCCACTGACACTATGGCCTTGAGGTCCTCCAGTGCCGGCCTCCCCAATATGATGTTGTGCGCACAAGTGAGTTTTCCCAAGATGAATTCCACGTCAAGTTTGCGAATGTTAGGGCTTGTGCCTATCTCCACTGGTAAGACCACTGACCCCTCCGTCTCCACTGAATCACCCGTAAATCCAGAGAGTAGAGCTGTCAAAACGGGCCAGCCCGTCCCATACGGGCTGGCCCGTCACGGGTTGAAAAAATACGGGACGGGACGGGCCAGCCCGTTTTTCATACGGGCTGGGAAAATCCCAACCCAGCCCGTGCGAATTTTTATTTTTTTTTTAAATTTTATTTATTTCAATCTATTTATTTTATTGTTAATTTGTTATAACTTATAATAAATAAATTACAATTTAACTCTAGAAAGCTAGAATGGCATACTTCCTAATTCCAACACAACATTCATGTCCAATTGTCCATATTCCACATTCAAATCTTACAAGTTTTCAACACAATTTTAATAAAACATTTAAAGTGTTCAAGTTTCGCACTATCGCAAGACACACATAACAAAAAGTCCAAAATATTCAAACATTCAAACAAAAAGTCCAAAATATTCAAGCATTCAAAAATCCATAAATGATAAATCCATTAGAAGCCTTCCCAATAGCATCATCATTCATCATAACTATAAGTTCATAACTGTAAAAAAGAAGAAGAATAAATTAGTAAAACAATAAATCAATAAATGAATATACAAATCTTAAAAAAAATAAACTCTAAAGCCTAAACTCCTAAAGTACCTTCATCCACCAAGAACATTAGAACTTAGAACTCTTTTGCCCTTCTCAATTGATAATTAGTTCACCCATACTAGGATCTCCACCATCTACATAAATTTATAAAATAAATCAATAAATCATTAGAAATTATAAGTATATATAATAAGTATTAACTATTAAATAACGATTAAATAATAATAATAATGCATTAATACCTTCAGAATTAAATCCTAGCAACCAATTGCGAGTACAAATGAGCGCTTGAACATTTTCCGAGTCAAGGGAACATCTATACTTTGTCAAGACTCTTGAGCCAATGCTAAAAGCACTTTCACTAGCAACTGTAGTGATTGAAATGCTCAATATATCACAAGCCATTTTGGATAGACATGGAAATCTAGCTTGATGCTCTTTCCAATATTGTAGAACATCCATTTTCATGTTAGACTTAGGATCTAGCTTCCCCTATTCTAGATATGTATCTAGCTCAGATTTTTTGATAACAACACTATTTTCACTAGAAAAATATGTAAACTCCTACACAAATAACACAATTGCACAAATCACAATTAATTAATTAATTAAAACTTGAAAGCATATTAAATAGAATTTGAAATAAATTTATTAAGTTTAAACACTTACTCCAAAGTAATTGATTTCTGGTGCATGAGAAGAATCTGCTTGAACTTGTGAAGAAGAAGTTGAAGTTGAAGTTGAAGTTGAAACCAAACTTATCCCATTCTCATATTGCTTAAATAACTGATACATCTTTCTCTTAACAACATTCACCTTGTTTTCCCAACCAATAGAATCAGACTTTTCATATCAAAAATTGATCAAATCAAACTTCAACATAGGATCAAGAACAGCAGCAATAGAAAGAATAACACTGTAATCACTCCAATATTTTTCAAACTTCACTTTCATTCTTAATGCCATATCTTTAAGTATCAAATCATCACAATCTTCATGTATCTTCAACAAACGCTCTATTTTCCAAATTTGCATAAAATACAAATTGGAAGTAGGATAACAGGACCCAGAAAATAAATTAGTGATGATGTAAAAGGGAGCCAAGAAATCCCGAATCAATTCCCCTCTCTTCCATTCCTCACTCGAAGGACAACTGATGAAATTCTTGTCACGTAATACTAAACACCCAAAAACTTGTTGATACTTCATCACACTGTCTAGCATGACATAAATTGAATTCCATCTAGTGGGGACATCTAACTTCAAGCCCACACTATCATCAATTCCTCCTACTTGCTCCACACACTTAGCAAACAATATTCTTCTTGCTTCAGATTGTTTCACATATTTGATACTTTCCCTAATCTTTTGAATACTAGTACTTGCAGCTTTCAACCCTTCTTGAACAATTAAATTCAAGATATGTGCAGAACACCGAATATGAAAGAACTCACCATCACACAACAAACTATTCTGCAAACACAAACGTTGTTTTAAAATATTTTGCATGCTATCATTTGCAGAAGCATTGTCCAAAGTCAAAGAAAATATTTTCTTATCAATTCCCCACTCTTTCAAAGAATCAAAAACTGCCCCGGCTAACTGTATACCAGTGTGTGGAGGCTCCATTTTGCATAAAGCAAGAATCTTGCTATTTAACTTCCAATTCCTATCCACAAAGTGAGCAGTAATACAAATATAGCCTTCAACTGTATATGCAGTCCAACAATCAGAAGTTAAACAAATTCTGCTAGGAGACCTACTCAATTGTTGTTTTAACTCCATTTTCTTATCAAGATAAACATTCCATACATCATTCACTGCAGTATTTCTTGTATACTCATTCACATCTGGATTACAAATTAAAAGCATCTCTCTAACTCTTCTATATTCCACAAAAGAATATGGAAGGTTATGTTCAATAATATCCATTGCCATAGTCTCCCGTAAAAGTTTGTGATCAAGCTGCCTAGATCTCAACTTTCCTTGTGCATCTAACATCATTGTCCCAATATTATGATACTTAGGAAGAGCAACACATTTTGGAATATGACGTAATATAGAAGATGTTCCATATTTAATGCCACCAATAGTATATTCCTTTCCACAACCATTACAATTAGCCTTTTCTTTACCATCAACTAGTACAGGATTTTTAGTAAATGACTTCCAAACATCAGAAGTAGTGGATTTAGCTTTTTTACGCTTAGGCTCTTCAGGATTAGGTTGTTCAATTTCTTGGATAGGAGATGTAGGCTGTTGAGTACTAGGCATCTCGGAGTCTAAATCAAATTCATCATTATTACCAACAGCACTACCAGTACAATTCACACTAGGAGAAGTCATTTTGCTGCAAATTGCAAAAGATTCACATTTTAATTACAAACATTATTAATTTATTATATATTTATACTCACAAGTCACAACACATCAACAATCAACAATAAAGATTAAATAGCATGTAGTTTTAACAAGTCAACAACTCAACATACAACAACAAAAACTCAACAATAATACATTTAATCAACTCAACAATAACAATCTAAATAATAACATCATTAGTTCATTACATCAAGATTCAACATCCAAGAATAACAATACATTTAAATTTTTAAACTATTAAACAATAACAATTAAATAAAATATTAATTAATTAATTAATAAAAAAATACCTGGTACAGTGTACAGAGAAGGCTGAGAAGTGAAGTAGTCTACTGTGAAGCAGTCTAGGTCGCGGCTCCGGTGGCGTCGTCCGTGGTCGTCCGTCGGCGAGGACTGGAGGAGGCGAGGAGCTGTCGTCCGTGGTCGTCCAGCCGTCCAGGTCGCGGCTCGCGGTGGCGTCGTCCGGCGTCCGGCACACCGGCGTCTTCCGTCGGCCGAGGCGCTGACTGGCAGTGGCAGAGGCGAGGTCGTCGTCTGTGAGTCTGTCTCGGCGAGCGGGCGAGGGCCGAGGAGCGAGGTGTCTGAGTGTCTCACTGTCTCTGTCTAACTGTCTGAGAATGAGGCGATTTTTAGGGTTATCCCAATTTCCCCTATTTTTATTCGGAGTATAGTTAGTAGACTAGTATTCCGTAGACAAGTAGACAACATATAATTATTTTATTTATTTAATGCACGGGACGGGTTACCCGTGTAACCCACGGGTTCAACCCGTGCCCAACACGGGTTAAACGGGACGGGCCGAAAACGGGACGGGTTGGGATTTCTCCCACCCAACCCGTCCAAAACTACGGGTAAACGGGCCCAGCCCGACGGGTTGGGCCCGTTTTGACAGCTCTACCAGAGAGTGGGTACGTACTTCTTTGAGCTGGTTCCTAGGTATCCCTAACTTGGTGAAGGCATCGTAATACATCACATTGACTGAGCTTCCCGTGTCGACTAAGATGCGGCGGACCATGACATCGTTGACGTCCATCTTAATCACCAGGGCGTCACGATGGGGTAACGGGCCCACTGGGAGGTCATCACCAGAGAAGGTGATGGCCTCCTGTCTCTGTTTCTTTTCTCTGGGAAGACTCACCACTTCTCACACGTATAGCTGCCAGCTCCACTTCTTTCTTTCCGCGGGCGTGTCGCCCCCTACGGGTCCACCACAGATGAAGTGTATGGTGTGCTTCTTTTGTCGTCTGGGCGCCACCTCGGTTTCTTTCTCGCTATCATTCTGCTCTGATATTTGGTCGTGTTCTCTTTTTTTTGGCGTTCGAGGTGGACGGCTCGGTGCCATCCTCATTCCTCCAGACATTTTTTGGTGGATTGTGTTGCGGCTGTTGCTACTACTTGGATCGCTTGACGAAATGTCGGAAGTAGTCCTGCTGAATGAGTTCTTCTATTTGTCTCTTCAAAATGTGACACTCATCCGTATCGTCGCCGGCTTGCCTATGAAACCTGCAATACTTTGTTTGGTCTGCCTTTGGGGAGACCTTCATGCACTCCTCGGGGAATTCTACCATTCCCATCTCCTCAGCTTGCTTTAAAATGAAACTGGCGGGATGGGTAAGAGGAGTTAAATTACGCAAGGGGACCATGCGAGGTCGTTCGTGGTCTCGGTCTTTCTCTGCGGTCGGGTGGTTCGAGAGTGGTGCTTGACTGGGGGACCAGGCGAGGTCGTTCGTGGTCTCGGCCTTTCCCTGCGGTCGGGTAGTTCGAGAGTGGTGCCTGGCTGGGCGGACCAGCTTTCCTAGGCTTCCCACCTTTCCTACCGTCCTCTTCGTCCTTCTTCTTCCTGTCGACGTCCTCTGCTTCGGCATAGCGGCTAGCCGTCCTCATCAGATCTTCATAAGAGCGGGGGTGGTGGGCGTTCAGCTGCTTGTGGAAATACCCTGATCTTAAGGCATGGATAAATATCAGGATCGCCGCCTTGGAGTCGAAGTCGTAGACATTATTGACTTCCTTTTTCCATTTGATCAGGAAGTCTTTGAGGCTCTCGCCTCTATCTTGCTTCACTACACAGAGGTGAGAGAAGGTTTTCTTACGATGTATGCTACCGGAGAAGTATGTCAGGAAGCTCTTGGACAACTCCCCAAAGTTTTGGATCGACCCATCCGGGATGGTGTTGAACCAGTCTTGGGCCGCTCCATCCAGGGTGGACAAGAACGCTCGGCACATGATGGCGTCCCCTGCCCCGATCATTACCATAGCAGCCTTGTACCTCGTTATGTGGACACGTGGGTCAGTGGCCCCCGTGTACTCCTTGATGGCGGGCAACCTAAAGTCCATCGGCAAAGGTACGTCCATGATGCTTGGGGAGAATGGTGCTGCCATCCGTACCTCGGGTTCCGGCGACTGCTCCCGTGTCTCCACCCTTCTTTCTAACTCCTCGATTCTTTTCTGCAGCCTCTCGACCAGGGCCGACTAGTCGGGGTGCCGGCGCGGGGCCGGCTGCCGCTCCTCCATGTGTCGGCGTGGAGCTAGTTCATCGACATGCCGTCCATCTGAGTGTTGACGCGAAACTGGTTCCTCGACGTTCCGTTCATCTAAGTGTCGGTGTGGAACCCGCTCATCAGCGCGTCGCTCCTCCAAGTGTCGACGTAGGGCTGACTCATCAACGCGTCGGCGTGGGGTCGGCTCTCGAGACTCGCCCACCTCCTCTGTAAGTGATCTCTCGGCTTCTTTGTTTTCGTGTTGGCGAGGGCCTCTGGTAGAAGACCCCTCGGCCTGTGATCCTAATCTTTGCCGCACGGGCGCCCTCTATCCCAATCGTTCTGGTGCAGATTGGGAAGGGCTTGGTTGTCGTCTGGCCGGTCCAATTCTTTGGGTCTCTACCCCTATTTCCTGGGGCCGCGGCGGGGGCACTTGGCCTTGCAGTCCCACCGCCACCTGATTTAGCACCGCCGTCACTGCTTGCTGAATGGTCGCTTGGAGGTTCACGACTCGGTTCGCCCCTCCATTGTTGAGTTGGTCTCGAAGGTCCCCTCCATTGTTGAGTTGGTCTCGAAGGTCCCCGAGCCTCCCGTTGTTGAGCTGTTCTCGGAGGTCCCCTCCGCGATTGTTGGTGAGTTGGTCCCGGAGGTCACCTGAGGCATTGCCATTGTTCACGTTGCAGGAACCGTGGGAGCTGCGGGACACTATTCTTTCAAGCTCGCTGTTGAAAGAGAAATGAGTTGTGTGTGTCATCGCCTGCTTGAGTGTGGGACTCAGGCTCTCAATGAAAGCACCAATGACGGTAAATATGTTATCGGATAATATTATTTTGTGTAAATGAGTGACAATAGTTGTATTGCTAAGTGTTTCAGTACAAGAATCAGAATTTGTCTTTGTCCAGAGTATTGAACGTGTCCTCCCAAGCTGAGGGGAGCATCTACTTATTCAAGGGTGCTAACGGTAATAACATGGGACATAAATGGGGAGCTAAGCCTTTAATTCTCTCTCATCAATGGTGGCATCAATGGTGGCTTCAATGGCAATAAAGGTGACACCTGTTGGAATTCTGTCAGTTGGAGTTCTGTTCGTTGGGTTTCCATGTGGTGTCGGGTCAAATATGGCACCGGGTCAGATGCCCCTTATGATCCGGGTCAGGTGCCAGCCCTATTATCCTGTCACTAATTTTACATTCAAAATGCATTTTTGCTTCATCATAATACATTTATGATACTAACAAAATATAATTCTAATGTAAATATTGTAATATTTATATATGAAATGTTACTTATTAAAAGAAATTGTAATACCTATTGTAGGAATAATATTACTGATAAACACAAGAAAACATGAACCAGAAACTGAAAAACGGCACAAGCTAACGTAGCCCCGGGAACAGATTAACGGAACAAAAGAGACAAGAAAATAATTGCAGAACCTGTATACGCTGTGTCGTGGAATATATCTACTGCCTTAGAAGCGTTTCGCAGCTCAGTGCAGATTAAACCGGCGCCGCCCCCCGAGGTTTACACAGCATCTCGTTCGAACCCGTGCACCCGGAATCGACGAGGAGAACTTGCATACAATTGCTCAGAGTTAAGGAAAAAAAATAAAGAGTGTATGGAAGAGAACTTCTGTATGTCTTTCTTTTCCTTTCATAACTTTTGTGCGTCTCTTTTACCAACAGGGAGAATATATATAGTGCAGCAATGCAGTAAAAAGGTTGTTATAAAAACTAGGCTAGGAAGCTGAAAAGTTGGAGAAAGAATAAGACAATATGACTAGGTGAGTCAAACTACTTTATCAGCAATCTTATAATATAGTTTCTGAATAAATCTTTGCATTACTTACAATCCCCCACTAATGGAAAGGAAAAACCTGACACCAAACTCTAAGCAATGTAGGCTAAGTACATAAGTGTTAGTATCTAAAGATTGAACCAACACATAGTGAAATATAGTTTCCCTTATCTAAGGAGTGAAATAATCTTGAACCCTTAGAACCAAGAATTGAACCATATGACACATACTTTACCTTAAGCAGTTCTGCGATATAAGCATATGTTGATCAATATTCCTCAGGATGCTCAAGAGTGTTTTAGAAAGACCGCCCATAACCTTTCACAGAAGGTGACCAAACCTTCACACTCAAGTAGGTGTATCCATCTATCCGTCTCAACACTATTCCCGAATTCGGGCTTATGGATCCATTAAGAACAAAATGTTCAACCTCACTCAGTGGTTGTCTTTCGACCAGAGTCCAAGATTTGGTCTAATGTGGACGTATTGTCCATCATTTTAACCCTGCGTTTCAGAGACTCCAACTCTAGTTTGAGTTCTTCTTCTCGTTTTCGGCTATCTTTAATGATATTGTCCCTGTCAGATATTTGATTTTGATACACTTTCCTACCATTCTCTATGTTGAATAAAGACTTGTGAAGAATATTATTGGCAAATGGATAATTGAAGATAAAATTCAATTATCTCCTAGTCAAACTACAAGTATCATTCAAATCCTAGTCTAATTATGATTCATACTTCAACTAGGATTATGATCAAGTGTCACCTATATAATAAGACTCTTAGAAGAATAGATGCAGCGATCTTACCTTTGTAATCTGATCGAGTGCATATAGATATATTGAGAAAGAGAGTCTATCACTTTGGAGTAATACGAGAGTTAGGTTTCAATAGATTATGAGAGATTGTGAGATCTATTGTGTAAAGTTTCCCTCTTCCTATACTCTGTATTTTTGAAGTTGCTCATAGTGAATTTAGGCTAATTCTTAATACGAGAAGTGCCTCGCAGATTAGGGTATTTCGCCCGAACTGCGTTACAAATTTCCTGGTGTTACAAATGTATGTTTCAACATTACTGTGTGTGTTGCTCCTTATATTTTTTCACTCTAGATTGCTAACTTGACTAGACAGAGATCTATTCACTCTTACAAGTATTTCCCATTTGGCATACAGTTTTTATATTCTAACTCAAACGAGGGGGTTGGTAAGTCGCGGTCTTCAGCCGACACAAATTCTTCAGTTTCTGAGTCTTCATCAACCTCAGATTCAAGAGTTACGTTGGTGATGGCCGTGAATGCAACAAAGTTCCCAAAGAACTCATCTGGATCAGATCCTGGATCAGGTTCAGGTTCATCGTCATCACTCCAGGTTAGCGCTACTTTCATCGAATTCTTACGCCTTAGATATGTTGGGCACTCAACTTGCACATGGCCGAACCCTTCACATTCATAGCACCGAATTCCTTTGCCATCGGACTTCTCTTTGGATTGAGAATTATGTGATGAACCCGGACGTAGATTGGACAAATTGGATCTTTGGTTGTTTCGAGCAGTGGTTGATCCCGATCCTTTTGGATTTTGAAACTTGCTATTCCTTCCATTTTGTCGTTGTTTCACCTGT